AAGCCGGAAGTGGCACTGTGGCTCAAGTGATAGAGTGCTAGCCTTGAGCTGAAGAGCTGAGGGACAGCGCCCAGGCCCAGAGTTCAGGCCCCATCACCGGACCACCCCCCCCCAAAAAAAAAAGAAAACGAAGACATCTAGCAATCCAAAGGACTCCCAACCATTCCTTGTTAAGTGTGATAATCTGGGAAGGAAGGAAGACCAGAAGCATTGGAGTAAGAGGGCTGTGGAAAAGCAGGAAGGGGTATAAAAAGAGATGGTCACTCCCTTCTCCATTGTATTATGCAACTATCAAGTTGATCATGATCTGTGTGGTTAGAGAAGCTAAAATTATTTTTTATTTTTGGGTCCCGTCGTGGAGCCTGAACTCTGGGCCCGGGCGCTGTCCCTCAGCTCTTCAGCTCAAGGCTACCACTCTACCACTTGAGCCACAGCACCACTTCCGGCTTTTTTTCTTTTTGCTTATGTGGAGCTGGGGAATTGAACCCCGGGCCTCATGCATGCAAGGCAAGCGCTCTACCACTGAGCCACCTTCCCAGCCCCGAGAAGCTAAAATTAATTATACATTGAACTGGACTTTTGTGTATGTGTTGGTGTTGGGCTTGAATTCAGGAGCTGGGCACTGTCTCTGCATTTTTGCTGATGGCTGATGGGCTCTACCACTTGAACCATATTTCTACTTCTGGCTTTTTAGTGGTTCATTGGAGATGAGAGTCTTGCAGACTTTTTGGTTGGCTTTGAACTGTAATCTTTAGATCTCAACCGCCTGAATAGCTAGAGTTATAGGCATGAGACACTGGTGCCTGGTTGAACTGGACTTTTTTTGGTCAGTCATGGGGCTTGGGTGCTGTCCCTGAGCTCTCTCACTTTGAGCCACAGCATCCCTCCAGTTGGTTGGAGATAAGAGTCTCACCGACTTTCCTGCCTGGGCTGGCTTTGAACCTCAATCCTCAGATCTCAGCTTCCTGAGTAGCTAAGATTACCAATGCATGTCAGAATTGGACTTGTTAAAACCCAAGGATGAGGTTGAAGTGAAATATCATTGAGAGGAAAAGAGGCCAAACACATGTATAACTGAGGAAGGTAGGTACAGTAAAATGGTTGTAAAACAAGATGTATTTGGTGGCCTGGGAAGGTGGCTCAGTGGTAGAGTGCTTACCTTGCATGCATGAATGAGGCTCTAGGTTGGATTCCTCAGCACCATATAAGCAGAAAAGGCCAGAAGTGGCGCCGTGGCTCAAGTGGTAGATAGCTAGCCTTGATCTGAAGAGCTGAGGGACAGAGTTCAGGCCCTACAACTGACAAAAAAAGAGAGAGATGTATTTGGTATTCCTTTAACTCTCAGGAAAACTGTGCCTGTTTCTTCTATAGCAATATTTATGATAACCGAAGACGAGCTCTCCATGATGTGAATGGAAAATAAAATTTGTATTTGAGTATTGTGACTGCCCGCATTCCCAGGTCACCTGGCTGGTGGGGTAGGGGCTGGAAGGGTGAGGAGCAGTGATTAGGTTTCAGCCACAGAACATGAGGTATGGGCCATATAATTAAAACTTTTATATCTAACAGGCCTACTGACCTCATTTCGCCTTCACAACATTGGGGGGAAAAAAGCCACAGAGAAAATATCAACAAACTCCAAAGAAGAAAGAAATGTCATTCTCTGACCATATATAATAAAAAGATATTTCTCTTTCTACCTAAATACCATTCACTTGTAATGTTACAAACATATCTATAAAAACCTATAGGCCAAAGAATTAATAGGTTGCTTGTTTCTGATCTGGAATGTAAAAAACTTGGAAGTCATCCTCCATCATAAATAAATAAATAACTAAAAAATAGCAAACAAAACCAACAATTTTTAGACCTGTCAGAGAAATGAGGCCACAGGGCAACCCGCTGTCCCCTAAACTTGAGAGATAAACAGGTATCCACTGTTTAGCTGGGTAGACTCTCCCCTCCCAGCTGAATTTTCTGGGCACCAGAATATAGTTGGAAAACCTGGAATATAAGAGGATCAGTACAGATCAGCTGAAAAATTTGCCTTCAGGAGTTGTTTTTTTTTTAAAGAGAAAAATCTTTGCAGTGTGTGTGTGTATATGCCGTGATCTTCAGATTCCAATGTTCTGTATAGGATTACAAGTGTGAAGCACCAGCACCTGGCTTTCTCTATACTTCTTGTAAGAGAGGGGCAATAATCTATTTTGAATGTGTCTGTAATTTTGTTGTGCCAGTGATTTTGTTAACAAGACTTGAACTCAGAAGAAATTATTATCAAGGCCAAGCATACTGAGGCTGACCAACCTGGGAGAAGGGAAATGCCCAAATCCATTTTACCCATCTGAGGTGTTGAAATAACACCTAAAAGATACTGTAAAGTCCCTAGACCGGCAACAGGGGCTCACTAAAAATCACTGTTTTGTCCAGAAAAGTGCTTCCTTGTCTCCATACCTTCTTACCACATTCTGAAAGGCCTCCTTACTGCAGTTCCTTTTCACTTAGTATATTAGATGTGGTTTTCAACAACAAATTACATGGTGAAGTAAGAGAGCAAGTACAGAGCAAAGTACCCCAGCTATACTCACAAATGACAGGAACATTGAAATGATCACACCAGGAATTTTCTACTGCTTGGTTCACACAGTACTAGATATGATGGGAAATACAGAGCATCTGCAAAAACAGATGAAAGATGGAAATGCTGCCTTTTAAGGACTCATCAGTAGCTGAAACATAGCTGAGAAAAAGAAATCTGAGTTTGAGGATATGGTGTGAACTATTTAAAGTGTTGAGGGGGGACTATACCTATCTACAACTTTGTCAAAAAATGGAGTTATGCAGACTTTCAATTTAATTTTTTTTTGCCAATAGATTTGCCTTGCAAAGAATGTTATTTAAAAAGGAAAATTAGAATGATAGTCTTGAAGACTCTCAGGTCTACAAAATGAAAAGTATTACAAGACTTTGTAAAAGCTGAATAAAACTTTTCTTATACTTCCTAGATACTACTTTTTTTTTTTTTTAAAGGAGCAATAAGGTGCCTCGGTATAAATGAAAAGAATGGTAGCAATGGCACAGGCACATGAGGCCAGGATTAGGAATATATGGTGGAACAATACAGAGCCAAGTAGACCAACCTTTAACAAGCAAAGGCAACATCATGGGTGAAGTCTTTTCACAAATGGTAGAACATCAGGACACCCATACACTCAAAAACACAACAGTTTCAAGCCAAATATTATTACTAAAACCATGTACTTCGGTTGATAATGTGGTTCAATTGAAAGAAATATATCACTAGTGTGGGACAATTTCTGGAGGCATACACATGTGCAAAAATATATAGGAACTCTCCATACCTGTTTCCCTACAACTAGTGTAGTAATCTTCCATTTCCCCATCTCTCCTGTATTTGTTGAAATTTGTAAAGAAGAGACTTTTTGTTGTTGTTGTTTTTTACCCCTTTTCCCTTCATTTTTTGGTGCTAGGACTCAAATTCAGAGCTCATGCCTGCCAGGTAAATGCTCTACCAGTGAGCTAGTTATATTCCAGCCCCCAAAACTATACATTTTAATAAGCCTGTTTAACTTGCTAA